AGAAATGGAGTCGGGGAGAGCTGGGAAGCTCTGGGAAGTGAAGCCAGGTTGGTGCTCTGGGAAGATAAAACCAGTGATATGGAAGAATCAGCCAAAGTCCCTGATTCTGTATGTTTTTGCTAACAGCTATTGTTTATAGTGCTTCTCTGATGCTGGTCTCATTCAACAAATTTCCTAAGGACCTAGATGTTTTATTATCCCAAGAATCACTTTTTAAGATCCAATTTTCCCTATCCAGTCAGTGGGCAACCGTTTCTGCTAGCAAGATGATGATGATGATGTGATGATGGTGATGATAATGTTCTTTGTGTTGGTTCTGGGGCTTGGGTGCTGTCCCTTAGTATTTTTACTCAAGGTTGATGCTCTACCACTTGAGTCACAGACTCACTTCAGGCTTTTTGCTGGTTAATTGGAAATAAAAGTCTCACAGACTTTCCTGCTAGGCTGACTTTGAACCACAATCTTCAGATCTCAGCCTCTTGAGTAGCTAGTATTATAGGCCTAAACCACAGGCATCCGACTATATGTTATTATCTTGCCAAGTTATGTGATGACCTTGGAAATAAAATGCAAGGACTATGCAAAATCAAAGTTGCATCTGGTTCCTGGGGAGGACCAAAGTTATCTTTAAGTGTGTGTGTGTGTGTGTGTGTGTGTATACATGCACACCTTTTGGCTCTGTGTGAGAGTATACTTATAAAATAGACAATATGGGGCCTTTTTTTCCAGCAACCATCTTCCTGGGATGATTGAATTCATTTCGATCAATCCTATTTTCCTCTTGGAAAATATACCTTTCCACAGAGTCTGGATATGATACAGCAAAGCCCGGTTAGAGTTAGCTCTCTAGTCTTCTGATACCATCCTCTGGCAGGTGGACTCTGACAAGCCCAGATGATGCAGGCTTGCTTTGCATTCCTTCAGACACCTTGAAGTGAAGGAAGAAAAAGCAACACCAGAAAGCTAATGGCTTCTTGAGTCAGCATGAAATGGCAGTAATCAGAGCCTTTCAGCCTGTCACAAAAAAACACTATTCCATAGGTACTGGGTTGATTCTATATGTTTTTGAAATAAGGATACTGGATCCAATGGTGCCATCTTGGTAATGGGGTAGATGGAAGGCAGTTGGGTCTAACTAGAGCCATCTTGGTTTCTTGGTGGCTGAAGGTGATGTACCACTCATAGGTTATGGGTGTACCTGAATTCCTAGAGGCAGGATCAGGGACTTGGACTCTTGAGCATCCTGCAGCCATGCTCTGTGACCATGGCCCTATTTAGACATTCCCTTCCCCCCCTCCACCTGCCAGCTCAGGCACCATTTTGTGCCATGCCTCCTGTCTCCTGACTGTCCTCAGGTCACCATGGTATCCCTCTTCAGCTCTCCATTAGAGTTGATCAGGTTTGGGGTTGTCTTTATGGTCTTTCTCTGCTTTACTACCCTAGGGATCAGTTTTCTAACAGTGTTAAGTGTATGCAAGGCTGCAAGTTTTCTGGGGACATATGTGTGCCTCAGTTGCTAGGTTTCTAATAAAGACTCCCAATTCAACCTCCCAAAATGTGGTTTCTCTGTATCTTGCGACTGAATTCCCATATAACATTTTCATTCCAGCGTTCTCTGTCTTTCCTTTGGAACATAGGATTCATGAAGGCAAATCATCTCTCTAAGTAAAATCCTGGTGCTGCGTCAGAGGACTTATCTGGAAGAACAAAGACTTTCTGATCTCATTTCCCTATCCTCCAACCAGAACAACAAAAGGGCTCCTGGTGGATCTGTGTTTGGCATGTCTTTGGGGTTTCCTAATACTATTGAGAGCTTTACAAATGGCAAGCCAGGTGGAGACAGGCATATGGAATAGAGGTGTCCCCAGAATTCTGGAGGCACTCTTCAAGTTGCACGTGGCATTAGTTTGTCCTAGGGAAGGAAGAAATGGGGCATGGTTGTGTCTCACTATCTGCTCAGGAGTTTTGTGGCACTGTGTAGCCTATGCTACTGAACATGTCCTCCATCATCTCCATCCATGATGACTGGATGTATTCTCTTAGGTCAATGTCTTGGTTCCCTAAGTACGCCAACACAACGTCCCCAAAGCTAGCTTAATAAGGCCTACTTCTTATGTCCCATGACTTTAACAGTCTAGAATCTCAGGGAAAGGAGGCATAGTTCTTTCTTTTTCTTTTCTTTTAAAACAGGTTTTGAGGCTTGAACTCAGGGCTTAGGTGCTGTCCTTGAGCTCCTTTTGCTCAAGACAAACACTCTACCAGTGGAGCCACATCACCACTTCCAGTTTCTGTGATTCATTTGAGATAAGAGTCTCACAGACTTTCCTGTCCAGGCTGGCTTCAAACCACAGTTCTCAGATCTCAGCCTCCTGAGTAGCTAGGATTACAGGCGTTAGTCACCAGTGCCCTGCAAAGAGGCATATTTCTACAAAAAAAAAAAATACAAAACCCAAAACAAAAAATCCCAAACCCTCTAGGTCAGACCAAGGATCAAATATTTCTGGCAGGGGGAGAGGGTAATTTTTGAGGAGTTACATGTTATTCACAGGCCAAGATTGCAAAATTGTACTTGATGCTGTGTTCTAGCATTCAGGAGCTATTAGGTGAATGTGAATCAGCCTTACACAGGCAATCTGAACACCTCAAACTCCTTCTGGGTCTCAGACTCTAGGAAGGAAAGGTTTGAAACACTTATCTTGGTTTAGTTCCTCCATGCTAATTTCCAGGAGAAAATACTTTAGAATTAAAATGGTCTATTTCCAGAAAGAGATACCCCTTTACAGAGTGGGGGTTGTTTGTAAAGAGACTCACTAGGTTAGATTTACAGTTTAATCCAGGAATCCAGGTAGCCTTATCTAATGGGGGATACATTCCTTAAGTACATCGTGACCAACATTGTAAAACTCTGGAATAGAAATTGCATCTGTAGACAACTTATGACAGTTTCCTTTGGCTCACAGCTTTGGAGGTTTCAGTCCACGATCTCTTGGCCCTAATTGCATTTGGGTCTGCGATGACTAAGGCCGTGCAACATGGCAGGAGTGGGTGGTGAAGGGAGCTTTGAACTCATGATGGCTAGGAAGCAATGAGAGAGACAGGAAGGAAGCTGGGTTCTAAAATCTCCTTAAAAAAAGCATTCTCACAAATACCTTACTTCCCTTCACTAGGCCTTACTTCCTAAAAGTTCTACTGCCTAAGAGTGTCATTGGCTGGAGACCAGGCCCCTAACAAATGGAAATTTGGAGGACACTTAATCCAATCATGTATGGATTGCTTATGTGAATGAGGAAAGAGAGAAATTGAGTGAAAGGTCCTTGCACCCCAAGAGGTTGGGGTAAGAACGAGACGCTTATCATTTATTAAACATATTGTGTGACAGGGTATCTGCTTGATATGTCACATACCTTTTCTCACATAATACTTAATTTCACAAGGCAAGTTACTGTTATTGCTGCTTCACTGAAGGGGAAACCAAAAGTTAGAATATTGCCAGGGGTGTCCCAAAGATGCGAAGAAATCAGATTTGTGTGTCTACTCATTGTCTCCCCTTGTCCCTTGCTGGGCAATTAGAGAATGCAGAATATCCATTCCCTTGCATAGCACCATGTAGCATTCCTCTGAGGATCTCCAAGGCCATTTCTTCTCTCTTGCTGGAGGAGAGAAGAATCTTAAATATCCTCCAAGCCAACACTACTACTGGCCTGCTGTCTGATTATAAGCAGATGCATTTCTCATGGCTTCTAAGAACAAAAGTGTGTTTGGAACAAAAGGCCCTGTACACCCAGTGGGCTTACAAAAACTCCCAAAAAATGATCAGTCCTTAACTAGAGCTGATAATAGCATTGGCCTGAGTGTACTTTGGAGCTGACTGAAATCACATGGAGGTCCTCTGCTCAGGTGTTCTTGTTCTTCCAAACAAATCTCTTTCTAGGGAGTTGTTGGATATTTCTATCTATGTTGGGAACCAAAAGAGATTATTCTGTATTCCTTGGCCAGATAGTGTCAGAGTTTTTATACTTCTCTCCCAGGCCCAAGGATCTGTCTATCCCTTTGATGTCTACTGCACAAGTGAGTCTGCCATGTCCTGTAGAAGTCAGCCATCACTCAGATGTTCAGATAGCACCACGCCATCTTTCCTTTCCTTTCCTTTCCTTTCCTCTTGCTTGTTTGCTGATCCTGGGGCTTGAACACAGGGCCTGGGCACTTTCCCTAAGCTTCTTTTGCTCAAGATAAAGTAGAGCACAGTTTCACTTCCAGCATTTATTTTTTTTTGAATAGTTTATTGGAGATAAGAGTCTCACAGATTTTGCTGCCAGGGCTGGCTTTAGAACCATGATCTTCAGCTCTCAGACTCCTGAGTAGCTAGGATTATAGACATGAGCCACTGGCATCCAGCTTCCGTGCCATCTTTTAAAGAACACCGAATCCAGCCATTCATACATGATAGTCCCATTTCAGAGGAAGGCAGGCTCAATCCTTTAGTGAAACCAAATTGTCAACCTGTGGAGATAAATCTGTTTCCAATGACAGTAATTTCTAACAAAATTCTACTTTGATCTGGGTCACGAAGTATGAGTACAACTGTTCCCAATGGTACTACATTTCTGCCTTTTACTAAACTTCACTGGTAAACATGAAGCATCAGATTATTGTTCCTCAAGCCTTGTCTTTTCCTCCTTTGGGTGACCAGTTTTAAAACCAATAATCTTGTAAAAACTAATTTAACTGGCTCACATCTCTGTCTCCATACACCCACTCACATGAATAGGATAAAAGAACAGGCAAGAGGAAGGAAAATGCAGAGGAGAATGAGAGATGTTTACTGAGACTGAAATGGTATGTTTTTCTTCTTTTCAATGAGTTAGCAGCAGTGTGTGAAGAGGCTGGTTACAGAAGTGTTCCAAGTTCACAAACAGCTCTGTCAACACTGGTGCCACTAATGCAACCCACCTGATCAGAGAATAAAACTACTCAGCACAAAAGAAATGGTCAATTCAACATCATTTAGGTTTAGTTTTATTTCCTAAAAACAATACCAATATTTGCATTAAAATTTTCACATTGAATCACTGGTCGCTATGATGTTTACATACCAATTCTGTATCATTTTCTCATAGATTTCAGGTGCATGTGGTCAGAACTAACCATTTATTTACTTTTCTGCTATCTTTGGCACAATTTCTGGTTCTTAACTATAAAGCATGGGTTGAAGCTGGCTATGCAGTACTCCAGAAATACAACTATTTGGGATCTATCTCAATGTAAGTACAAGTGTATGCTAAGCATTATTTACAAGATGAGAACTGAAGACTTTTAATAAACTATAAATTCATAAATTAGCAAGAGAATGAGAAGCAGAAGATTTTAATGAGCAGGGCTAAGATTACTGGTTAGAACAATCTTCTCTGGAGCAGGAGACAGTGCCGGGGGATGGGAGGGAATTTCTCCTGAACCATTGATATGAATACTTTATGATGTAGATTCAATTTGCACAAATCCAGGCTAGGGACAGCTTTACTGCAAGATCGTGTGTGAATGCTATGGAGTGGAAATTATAATGCAGTTTAGCTGGTAGCATGTCACTGTTATTCAAGGCCCTAACACATCCAAGAGTGCACAGGAAGCAAAGTTCTGGCCTCTGTAAGTGGGTATGAATGGCTTTGGAAGAATGAAGCCTTCCAGTTGGAGCCAAGCACATCTGTCTTTTGAAGCGATACCTTTCTATATAAATTGTATGCAGAGTCAGTATAAGATTCCTTCCAGGCCATTGGAATCTGGAAGTTGTCAGTGAATACCTATGCTACCCTGGAGTACCACCATAAAGATCTCTGTTTTAGGGCCAAATCCATAGATGTGAAATGATGGTACAGCATAATGTCTCATTCCAGTGCTCCTGAGAAAGAACTGGTAAGCCCTGAAACAGACCTAAACTGGGATTATAGTTATTATTCAAGTACAAGGAAAGCTCCTCACTTCACATTGATAGTTCAACTCTGATCTCTGTCTCTTGAAAACTATATGAAAATAATAAATACATACATACATACATAGTTCTATACTGAACACTGGGTTAACAATGAACAGTGTCCCAATACAGTACATTGACAAAAGAACCCCTCTCTCTTCCTCCCTAAACCCTATGCGAGTCTTGAAATTATTATTGCAGAACTGTGCTGGTCTGGTCTTTTTTTTTTTTTTTTTTTTTTGCTGCTGTTTTGTGTTTTCAAAACAATTTCTTTGAAATTGGCTGGAGATGAGTTCAAAATGGTCATTTTGGCACATTGACAAGGGGGGTTGTTTAGATGCATTGTAATTCATAAAAAATGAGAGGTAAAGGAAATCTATGCCAATAGAAAGCTTGAGTAAAAAATTTGTAACAAATTACATATATATATATCTCCCCAAACTGGTCTGTGTATGGGAAAGCAATTTCTCTGTGACATTAATTACTGATTTCAAGTTAGTACTTTATACACTTTCAAACTTGGTTTTATAGAATTTTCAAAACCCGGATAATATAACTTCTACATTATTTGATGATGTTTCATCTTACCACACTCCCTAATTCTGAAACCTAGCCAGCAGAGGCTGTCAAGCCAAAGGTAGAAAATAATCTGGACTTCTGTTTATCAAGTTAAAAACACAATTGACCATCAGCAGTTTTCTTTTCCTGAATGTTGAGCTTGCTAAGGGATGACTCTCATGGACCTGTCCTTCATCACTCCAGTCATCTGAAGCGGGGTGCTCTAGAACTGTGATGTCTGGGTGAACGAGATGGTGTCTGACTTGTCCACTGCAAAGCCTCCATTGACATATGACTTCTTGGTGTCTGAGTCTTCACTGTCCAGTACTGTGGATTCCAAGGCAAAAGGGTTCACAATGTTGACTTCAGAGGAAACATCCATCTGTTCCAGCTCCTTCTTAGAGAGCTTTTCCACAATGCCAGTCCCAAATGCATCACCAAGGACATTGACCATGGTCCTGAACCGGTCCCTAGAGAAGAGACAGAGGCATGAGAGGGGGGCTCAATTCTTCCTCAGCTTGACAATACAACTTGCCATTTATTGAGCATGTACTGGCTGACAGACTTGGTTCTAGATTCTGGACTCACACGACCCCACATAAGTCCTTACAACAAGCCAAGGAGGTAGGCAGAATTTCCCCCATCTGTCTGGTGGATAATGCAACTGGGCCTCAGGTTAAGGGCCTCCAAGTTGTAAAGCTAATTAGATGCTGGATGGGGAGCCAAACCTAAGTCAGGCTTATCCTAAAAAAACCTTTGTGCATGCTATGGTCTAGACAACCCTACTAATGCTTGGAAATAGGTGCTGATTTTGAACAAGGTGGTTCTGAGTCTGTGAGGGTAAACCAAGTCAAGGACAGCTTTTAAGATAGCTCTGGGGCCTTCCCAACGCCTTCATCATATTATCCCATTTACTGTATTTAGTGTAGCTGGCACCCTGCTGTAGCCTTGCAGTTCAACCAGTATAATGAGCTAATGGAGCTTTGCTGGCTTTTAAACATCTCTGCTTTAGTGATGAGGAGTTAATGTTTGAGCACAGTTATCAGATGGCCTGGTCAGAGGGCAATCAAAGCAGCAACAGATGGCTCGCTGGGCCATTAGGAAGGGAGCCTGTCCATCTGGCTGAGGCCAAGGGCATTTGGTCCAACTCACAGGAGCCAGTCGACAGCGATGATTAGGGTAACATCCTCTGCAGGCAGACCCACCGCACTCAGCACGATCACCATGGTCACCAGGCCCGCCTGAGGTACTCCGGCAGCTCCAATGCTAGCAGCTGTGGCGGTGATGCTGTAGCCAAAACACACCAGCAGAAAGCGTGAGACCCTCCTGTTTCTCCCCTCAAGGCTCTGGGCCTGAAACCATCTCCATGGTGATTATTATCTGGGGAAATCAAGCACTAAGAATTTGTTATCTACTAAGGACTTGCTCGAGGCATATAGGATGAGAGCTGGGAGAGAGGAGGCTAGGAAGAATGTGATTCCATGGCCTGACAGGGGGAAAGGGGGAACAGCATTCTGGGGGCAAGAAAAGAAAGACAAAAGAATGTCGCGAGTGACACCTAAAATGAGCCAGAGAGTCATTCAAAAGGAGCACAAGAGCTTGCCAAGTGGACTGTAAATGGAATGCTTTACCCATCCCATGCATCCATCCTAAATACATGCCAGGTGCCTCTCCACCTGCTTGCTTCCTCTTTCCTTCCATCTACTCTCCTGTCCAGTCATTTACTGAGCACCTAACAAGAGCCAGGAATTTCAGTTGCCTTGCAGATTAGGGGTAAAGGTCAGTTGACTGGGCCAAAGACAAAGGCAATGGTTAAACAGGTTTAGAGTACTTTCTGGTTATCACAAGACTCTTGACCTGTCTGAAGGACACCGAATTAAGAAAATATGTGACTCCTGTCCAAGGTATAAAAATTCCTATTTCTTTCTCCCAGTGGATGCCCTTTGTGAAAAATGAAGACAGACCTAGAATCTGGAAGAGGCAGCCAAATTAACTTTATTATCATGCATGTTAAAAGATCTCTCTTGGATAGATAAGATGTAGCACTAGGGATTAGTCAGTTTGCAATGGAGAAACCAAGAGAGAGAGAGAAGGAAAGAGTGCTCATATAGGAATTTGAACTCAAAGCTTTCTACTCTCATTTGGCTTTTCCATTCCTGGTTGGGACCTTACCATTTAAACCATGCCTCTAGTTCTGGCATTTTGCTGATGGATTTGAAATAAGAGTCTCTCAGATTTGTCTGCTAGGGCTGGCTCCAAACAGTGATCCTTAGATCTCAGCCAGCATTACAGAAGTGAGCCACTTATGCCTGGAAGAATGCATAGGTCTTGGGCAGCAACGTATTTCTTATTTTAATCAAGACTCACCATGCTCTGAAAATCCCTTTGGATGATCTTGAGTGGCATTCATGATATGCTCTGAAAAAACAGACTCATCCTTGGGGCAGGATTTACACTGCTGCAAAAATTCACTGGATCAACAGGTGACTATGAAGCAACTGACAGTTTAAACTAGAACACCTACTCAGAATCCATAGTCTTCAAAAGTGTCAGCATTCTTAGGATGTTAAGTGGACTGGCCATGCATCTGCCAGGTGATATGCTGCAGAGACCATTTAAAGGATCTAGGCAAATGCAGGCTGAAGGTCTTTGATCAATATGTGTTGCTTCAATCAATTTACAGTAAATTAGAGCGTTCTGAGGCTGTACTAATACCTCTTAAAAATTCCAGGCTTTCTCAATCCTTTTGATCTATTCTTATCTATGTTTTCTTTGGAAAATTCAATGATATTCCAATGCAGGTTGAAAAAAAGTGGAACTGAATGGATGTTCTTTGTCAGATGTGATTTGTGAGCAAGCCCGTTGATCTCTCCTGAAATATTTCATGATTAATCACACTCTTGACCTTGCTTGCAGAACTTGTCTGTCTTCTTTCCTTCCTTCCTTCCTTCCTTCCTTCCTTCCTTCCTTCCTTCCTTCCTTCCTCTTTCTTTCTCTCTCTCTCTTTCTTTCTTCCTTCCTTTCTTCCTTCCTTCCTTCCTTTCTTCTTTCTTTCTTTCTTTTTCTCTTATGGTAGTACTGGGTTTGAAACCAAGGCCTAGCCCCTTGTTACACAGATGCTCTACTACTGATCCATATCACTAGTCCTTTTCACAGTGGTTATTTTTGAAATACGATTCTACTTCCTGTCCAGATGCATGCCTAAACCATGATCTGCCTATTGCAGGCTTCCTGTTGTAGGTTGGATAATGGGAATATGCAACCACACCCAGCTATGGGTTGAGAAGGAGTCTTGTGAACTTTCCTGCCTGGGCTGGCCTCAAACCATTCTCAACCTCCCAAATAGCTAGGATCCGAGATGTGAGCTACCCAATGCCTGGCCTAGAGTTTTGCTTTTAACCTGGCTCAAGCATATCCTATTTTGGCTGAGAAAAGTTTCACTGCCTCAGTCACAAAGTTCTCTCCTCACACTGAGGCTTAGTTTTGGGACAGGCCATTTAGCTTAGCTCAACACAGCTGGAGGCTGGGCAAATGAACTAGAGTGAGCCCAGATTTCACAGTTAGACACATCTGAGTTCTACTCCTGTCTCTTCCATTTTCCTGCTGCATTTTCTTAGGCAAATGACGTCTCTGAATCTCAACTTCTTGTCTGCTTTATAGGGATAATATGATGTCTTTAGGGCTGCTGAAAAGATTAATCCATCTGAGGCATTCAAGGAAGGCAAAATCATGTGATTTCTGCTGCTACTTCTGTTCTTCTCCCTGATGCCACTTGGCTAGATAAACAGTCAAAACACCCAGTACGACTGAGCATCTTTAATCTGAAAGTCCAACATCCCAAATTCTCCAAAAGGCCAAATGGATATGACAACAGGTGGGAAATTTCACATCTGCTCTCATGTCACAGGGCACAGTGAACACACAGGCACACTAAAAACACTGCGTACAATTACCTCAAAGGTGTATACAAGATAGAAATGAGGCTCAAGCTTAGACTTTGGTCCAAAGTCTAAGGTATCATACTATGTATATGCAATTTTTCCAAAATTAAAAAAAAAATCCCCCCATTACCTAAACTGTCAAGCATTTGGAGCCATTTCTAGGCATCAGATATTGTAACAATTTTTTTTGTCTGTCGTGGTGCCTGAGCTCTGGGCCTGGGAGCTGTCCTTAAGCTCTTCAGCTCAAGGCTAGTGCTCTACCACTTGAGCCGGCCTTTTCTGCTTATGTGGTAGTGAGGAATCCAACCCAGGGCCACATGCATGCAAGGCAAGCACTCTACCACTGAACCACCTTCCCAGCCCCTGTAACAATCTTTTGATAGAAGGCTATCCCATTTTCAGTCAGTTAAAACTTGGGATAAATGAATGCTACCCTAAAACCACAAAAGGACTTTATCCTTGTTTCTGTGATGTGCAGACCACAGCGGGCAAACGTGCTATTGTATTTCTAAAGAGGTCTTTAACCATTAGCCACATGAACTATGAAAATATATCTGTAAAGTTAAAACTAACTTTTATTATTTCTCAGAACGGATTTTTGAAGTCAATGATTACTCTGGGTATCACGGTGGTTACTAGTTCTGGGCCAGTTACCATCAGTGAATGTGATTCATGAATATGCCAGAGTAGGGGACAGAAGTTCAGAAGTGAATTGACTAGTTAGCCTTTAGGCCCAAGGTTGATTTCTCTGGCAGTCAGCATAAGAAAAGGGGGAAAAGAAAGAAAATGGATGAGGAAGATTTAGGCAATGTATGATTAAGAACAAGGAAGAGAATTTATCAAAAAGACACCGACACATCAAAGAACCAGCATCTCATAAATTACTCTTTGCAAATCACTTCAGTGCAGACTAGATTTTCCAGGTTAGGCTGAGGGACGTAGGATGAAACCCTTGGAAATGTATAAATTAGAACTGCTGCAACCACCTGGGTATCTGTGGAACAGAAAACTCCAAGAGCACAAGTCACAGTTTTAACACTGTCTCCACGATCATCACCTCTGAACTTTGCTCAAACTTGGCTTCGTTAGCCACTGCCACCTTTAATTGATTAAGCAGCATCTGTACAGCCCCTCTCCCAGCAGATGTTCCATATTTCAGACTAATCTTTTCAGTGTCTTACTAGTCTGGTCAATTTTAAACAAACAGCAATAGTTTATGATTTAGGGCTGTGGATGATTTTTTTTAAAGTGTTTTATGTTAGAATACTGTGAACCTACTCTTCAGGTGTTATGATTTTGTCTCTGCAGGGATACAACTTGAATAAGTAGATCTAGAGAATCAGTTTCATTCTACACTCAACTAAATTCCTCAGATTAACTCTTAACCTGGCCTGCCACTCAAATGTAGCACTGTGAAATCGAACTTTCTGTGATGGAATTGCTCTATATCTGTGCTGTCTAATTCAGCCAGCCTCTGGCTGACTACCACAAGCCAATGGCTAGTGGCTGCCATATTGGCTGGATGGTACCATCTTAGAGAAACAACTCTGGCAAAATCCACTAATGGTATTTCAACCATAGCCTTAAACAAGCTGTTGAAATCCTCATTTGAGTTGAATTCTCTTTAGGATCTGAGTCTGTGAACCATTTCTATCCCTGAAAAATCTTTCTTCTCTTGGTCTCCATATTTTCATGGTTCTTGTTTCCTTCCATCTCTTCCTTCTTCTTACTCGGTCTACCTTTAATACTAGGATTTTCCCAATCCAAAACTTGAGTCTCCTTTTCTTCTCTACAAACTCACCATTCCTAAAGAGTCATCCATTCCTAAAGAGTTCGCTGTGTAGGTACTAAAGCTTTTATATGCGTCATCTGACTTAGTCACCACCACTTGACTACAATTTAGGCATTATGATTATTATCCTCATTTGAAGGGTGAAAAAACAGCAGTTTAATAATTCAAGTGTCCTGCCTAAGCCAATCACAGTATCCCTGAGATCCAGATGCAGACAGTTGACACATATTAGATGGCCATCTACAGTCCAGATCTCCATTTCTCACTACACATCTCTCTACCTGAAGCCTCAAAGGTATTTCAAATTCAATGACTCAAAAAATATGAAGTCTTTCTTTTTTTCTATTACTAAAGTTTGAACTCAGAGCCTCAAAGTTGCTCGGCTTACTTCTTGTGTTCTACCACTTGAACCATGTCGATAGCCTGGATTTTGCTGGTTAATTGGAGATGGAATCCCGTGGGTTTTTCTGCCCAGGCTCTCTTTAAACTGTGGTGTTTTGAGTGTCAGCTTTGTAAGTAGCTAGGATTATATACATGAGCCTCCAGCGTGGCTAAGGAGTATAAAATTTTATTTCCTTATCTTATTGCTTTTCCTTTTTACTTAAAATTTTTATTGTTTTTTTATAAAGGTGATATACAGAGGGGTTACCATGTCATAAGTCAGCTAATGAGTACATTTCTTTTTAGATAATGTCACCCCTTCCTCTCCTTATTGCTCTTCTTATGCGAATTCCTGTCTTTATAACCACCAATCTAGAACCATTCACCAATTGTGGGAGACATCTTAGCTTTCCCTTGCTCCTCACATTGAATTGAGCTATTGTCTCTTTAATTCATTCATTCATTAGTAAGTCTCCAGTGTCAGTGCCTTGATGTAGGCCTTTTAACACCTTCTCTGGACTTCTCCATTAGTCCCTAATTGGCCTGCCTTGTGTTCCTTTGCCCATCTAACCTGCTACTTCTCTAACAGTGCGAATCTGTCCATGATCCATACGGAGTCTTTCATGATATGACCTCTGTCTTATTCTTTCATGTCCTCTACATTTTACTCTTTGTGCCAGATACAACAAACAATGGCTGACTCTGTAACTAGGACATGGCTACATCACAAGCCCTGTATGAGCTATTTCTGCTTTCCAAAGCGCTTAGCTGCCTTATTAGCCTGCTAAGTTCTTACTCCTCACTGATGACACATCTATATCCCTGTCTTCCATGAAGCTTTCCTTCCTCTTCCCAGAGAGCAGATCTTTCCCTCTTTGGGACCCCCTGTGATCACTAAAAGAAGTTCTGTGACATGCTATATCTTATATTCCTCAGCATGCTTTTGGATATCTATTTTCTTTCCACAAAGAATTCTTTTTTGGTGCTTGTTTTGGAGCTTGAACTCAGGACCTGGACACTTGCCCTTAGCTTTTTCACTCAAGGCTGCCACTCTACCGCATGAGCCATATCTCCACTGCTGGTTTTTTGGTGGTTAATTGGAGATAAGAGCCTCATGGATTTTTCTGTCTGGGCTGCCTTTGAACTGGGATCCTCAAATCTCAGCCTCCTGAGTAAGTACAGGCATGAGCTACCTATGTCTGGTCACAAGGAACTCTTTGATAGCAGTGACTATCCCTCATTCAGCTTTGAGTTTTTAGTGCCTACTTTGTGCGTAGTACCTACTGAACACAATGAACTGAGCGTAGAGCAATGATTAGAACTGCTCAGACTCTGAATCAGGAATGCTGTGTTCCATGAACCCACTAGTTAGTTGTCCTCAATCTTGTGAAGGGACTTTGTAAGCCAAGACAAACAACCCACAGGGCCTCCTTTCACAGATTGCTTTTACTTAGTAACCACGAGGCAAATGAGTGTGACACTACGCCCCACCTGATAGTGATGATCTGCCCAATGCTCAAGTCCAAGTCATTCAACTGAGCAATGAACACAGCGGCCACTGCTTCGTAGAGCGCAGTCCCATCCATGTTGATTGTGGCACCAACAGGTAGCACGAATCTAGTAATCCTCTTGTCCACCTGATTCTTTTCCTCAGCACAGCGGAAAGTGACTGGCAGTGTGGCTGAACTATATGATAAAAAAAAAAAAAAAACGATGGTTGAAGAATTCCAGTTCTCAATCCCTACCTGAAAAGCCCCCCCCCTCTCTGTCTCTCTTTCTCTCTGTCTCTCTCTCGGTTGAGGGGCCTGAACTCTGGGCCTGGGCACTGTCCCTCAGCTCTTCAGCTCAAGGCTAGTGTCCTACCATTTGAACCATAGAGCGCCACTTCTGACTTTTTCTGCTTATGTGGTGCTGAGGAATCAAACCCGGGGTTTCATGCATGCAAGGCAAGCGCTCTACCACTGAGCCACCTTCCCAGCCTGATACATCTTTTACACACACACACACACACACACACACACACACACACACACACACACACACACACATCACAAATAAAACAACAACAAAAACCCAAAGGGCCCATGAGCATACTGGTCAGCACTTTTGGTCAGTCTAGGAATCAGAAGACACTCTACCCACCACTGACCCTGGTTACATTAAAACTCATTCCTAGCTGCAGAACATGCCAAGAGGGCAGGGAAGTATTCAAGGGAACCGTGTTTGAAGATCGAGGACAGAATATATGGAGGTCATCGTTCAAAGGTAGCTACAAAATACATAAGCTAGGATCTGCTTCATCAGGGGAAGGGAGAGTTGATAGAGTATGGTCTGGAGGTCTTTTCCCGAAGGTCATCTTTTACTTACCTGGAAGAGATCATAAGAGCGGTCAGGAGAGCCTGAGCCATGCCCATGGCAAATCGGAAAGGATTCTTCCGTACAACTATAAAATATATCAGTGGGAGAACTACAATGGAGTGGATTGCAAGCCTGTAATGAAAGAGATACATGGTTTCAAAGACGTTACCATTGTCTCACACCTCACACTTGATTTGTTTTGGTGTGGGAGATGGAACTCAGGGCCTCACATTTGAAACACATGTCCAGCCCCTTGTCATGTTGGTTTTTTCCCAGTAGGGTCTCGCTCTAGGCCTTCCTGGACTGTGATCTTCCTACTTGTGTCTCCCCATGTGGTTGGGGATGACAGGTGTGAATCACTGCACTCAGGAGCTCATCTCCAGGCCTAGCCCATTGGTTGACATGGCTCTTGAACTTTTATTCCCTAGTCTGCTCTCAAACTTTGATTCCTCTGATTTCCACCTCTCAAGTAGCTAGGATTGCAGGTGTGAGCCACTACACCTGCCCAGCTCTGCTGCTGGATTGTTAAGCCTCCTCTAAGACTCAGCTATACTTCTCCTTTCCTCTATGAAGCCTTCCTTCAAACTTTTTCAAGTACAGCAGTTCCTTTCCTCCTTGGGACCATCTTTGTCCCAACCACAGTATACCATTACAAGGTGTATCACAGCGACTCCCCTTCCCCACCCCCCGCTGGTCCCCTGAACCATGATGCCCTCTGTTTACAGTGGAAGTCAAAGGTGCAGAAGGAAATAGGTCTCTGCTCTTCAAGGTCAACATTCGGGACTGGTTTTCTTTCCTTCATTATTCTTGCCTTCTCAAACTGTTCTCTGTTTTACACAGAGCTATACTGGTTTCTCAAAATGGGAGGGCTGAAGAAATGAGACCCACTTGGCAGATGGCATGTACGTATGAGGGGATGCTTCACAGTGTACAGATCATTTATATTAGGTTGGGATCATAAGAAACAGTCATTGCAAAGATGAGTCCTGAAGTCCCAGTACAGAGCTGGTATCTAAACATTGCGAGTTCTTAGCTAGAGCTTTTGCTTTTGTGCTAGAAACCTAAATAGGATGAGAGGAAAAACCAGAAGAACTCCATGATGAAATGGCTCAGTATCACAAAGCTCACCCACACCGGTGCCCAGACACAGTCTCCAGTCCTGCCTGTCCCAGCAGCCCCACAGCAAGATAGGCCTCTGCCTTTCTGGCATCTATAACCCTGGGGTTTGGCTTTGGCTCTCACATTGTATGAACCCAGGCTGCTTCTGTGTGGGGTGGCATGGCTATGCTTTGGGCAAACATAGATTAGGTGCCAGCATTGTGCTGTGGAAATGTTCCTAATGCCATCAGGTTCCAATAAGTGAGAGGTGAGCGTAAGTTGGACATTTGACTTCTGGGAATCAAATAAGTATGATGATGTATTCCTTTAGTCCACATTTGTTAGTCTATATGACATATTCTGCCTCTGGCTTAGTTTCTAGGAGGACCATTCATAACCTACCCACAAACTCTCCCCTGCCCCTCCCTCCCCCCGCCCCGCATCTTTTCTCAATAACTAGATTGTAAGGAATATGCCAGTGAACTCATGCCCAGTGCATTCCTATTTTATGACTTCTAAAGCCTGATGATTTTCCCCAAACCCTCTCTGGCATTCTGATCGAAAAGGGCATGGCAGCAGCAATGGTGTTTGAACCAATCAGCTCTGTTACTCCTACTTGCTCGAGTCTAATTTCATGATTTCACCCTTCGTAATTTATTTCAACCTGCAGGCACGTGGGGGCTATTCTTATCTGTTTGGTTAGTTGATGTTCTTGAGGAAATAAAGGGCAGGAGACAGCCAAAAGAGGCTACAAGTAGGTTTCTCTCTTCTTTTAAATGATTTAAATACAACTAATAAAGACAGTGGCAAAGCCTGGACCAGGCAGTTCTGCCAGGAGCTGGCAATTAGCACAGCACGATCCACCTACAGTACAGCTGTTAAAGGGCAGCCCCACTTGCCTGCTTTTATCTCTGAACTCTTTAAAACCTTTTAAAACCAGCGGTACCCCAGCCTTCCCAGAAACAATTCTTTTATAGATCCAGTGAAGTTTCTGTTGCTTCTCTTGAATTAGACATACCCACTCAGGACAGTGGCCATGTAAAGTCCCAGCTTTCGGAATATTTCCCAGTCTTCAACTTCTATGATCTTCCCAGCAATTAGGAACAAAATACCCAATGGCATGTAACTGGAAAGTAAGCAGATCAGAGACACACTTGTGTTATCAGGGAGTTTCTCAGGATTTGTTGAGGGGAGAGGAGAGGGAGGCAAGCTAGTGTTACCTGTGTACTCAGCTAGAAGGAGAAAAGGGCATAGCATGAAGCCAAGGTTTTGGTTTGGAGTCCTGAGCATACCGCTGATTGTTGGCTTTAGTATCTTGCATAGACCTTAAGTTGTACCCATCTAAAATGAAGGGGAACTTGGAAACTTAACAAGAATGCATGGCCAGATTGGGTGCATATTCCACGCCATACATATACACAGACAGTGTACATACATGCGATCCATTGTCATCTCTGCTTATTTCACTTGGCCTTTTCTGCAAAACATGGAGGCCAAGCCCTTTCTAGCCCTGGACATTCTTGTATGTCAGGTGTCAGCAATAGAAGCAACACTAGCAGTAGTAGTAGTAGCAGTGGGAATGGTCATAGTAGCTTTGGGGAGAATAGTTTACATGCAGCATTTTACTTAACCCTGGGAATAAGTTTTATTATCCTTTAAAAAAAAAAAACAGATGATGGAGTTGATGTTTTTGTAGGATGAAGCCACTTTCCAGGCTGTTATTGCTGAACCTTTTGTTGTTGTTGTTGGTCATGGGGCTTGAACTCTGAGCCTGGGCGCTGTCCCTCAGCTCTTCAGCTCAAGGCCAGCACTCTACCACTTGAGCCACTGCACCACTTTCAGTTTTCTGAGTGGTTTATTGGAGATAAGAGTCTCACGGCCTTTCCTGCAGGGGCTGGCTTTGAACTGTGATCCTCAGATCTCAGCCTCCTGAGTAACTAGGATTATAGGTGTGACCCACTGGCACTCAGCTTGCTGAACCTTTTAGATAGTTGTGTCAATGTCTGCCCTTTGGATTACAGAATGCTCAACCAATTCCATGTGAAATAAAGGAGTTTGAGACCTCTCAGGAACAGTGGGTTGTTTAATAGCTCAGAGACAGGGGCCCTCAGGTGGGGTCCCTGGTGTTGCTCTGATAGTGCCTTGCATTCAGATGACTTTGTGCCCATGCACGAAGTTGGAAATGTTTCCCCTCTCATTTCTTTCTTTTACTTTGCCATTCTACAAAGCAGTTTATGAATACAGTACCTCTTGATTAAGATCGATCCCTTCAACATTCTTGCCCACCCTTCCCAACCTACCTCTTCTCTCACTTTTCCTTAATTTTTAGGCTATGTATTTTGCTTGCCATTTAGCCAAGCCATTTATGTAGACAATGCATCTTAACCTGTATCATCCCTTCAACATCTTCACCTCATCCTTCTACCCACCCCTTCCCTTATAGTTCTCAATTCTGTGGTATAGACAATGAATTCGTGCCTGCATTTCTCTGCTTCTCTCTTCATTCTTCTAGTCATTTCTCCTAGGCTGCTCTCTCTCATCCTAAGTACTCATTAACTGGTACTTATACTGGATCTCCTTTCTGCCTTGGGACCCAACAGCAAAATCATTGCTGTCCTGACTTGTAAGGAACTCTTTTAAATCTCATCTTCTAGAGTCAGTGAGGCATATGGATATCAGTTGAGTACAACATGGATTTCTTAGGGCTTTGAAGGGGGAAAAAAGATAATGGCTGACAGCTAGATTTTTTTTTCTAATAAACAGATCAGACTCCTGAGCTATACATGAAATTATTTAATACACCAATGTCTTGACTTTCAATTTCTACCTTCTCTAAGAAGGGGTCAGGTTCTTCTACTTTTGAGATGATTGGGTTGTAAGGGAAGAAAAATAACATGAAACAGTACTCACCACATGATGATCTGAACAATTTTCATAGTAGCATCACTCAAAGCATTGAAGAAGTCCACCAGAATTTGTCCCTTTTCTCCCATCTTTCCCATGACAAGTCCAAAGACAAGGCAAAAGATAATCAAGCCCAGGACATTGATACCATCTGAATACATGCCTACAATTTTGTATTCCTTTGTTTTGTTCTGTGGATTAAAAGCCAAGAAAATATATCAAAGCAGGAATATAATTACAGCGATACCACAAAGTCAATAATACTTTAGGAAAGACAATACCAATGTTAACAAAAAGAATATCTGCTCATGTAGAACCCTGCTCAGCCCTCCACCCTGTTGAGGTTTAACTGTTTTGTCCCTTTTCTTAACAAGTCCATATTTCTCTTGAAACGTTCTTATTCTAGAAGTGTTTTACATTTTTGTATGAATCAGGACAATTTTTAGGGTTATTTTAAATACTAACTGCATTTGGAGACTGTTTTCTTAAATGATAGGCATTAATAATGCAGGAAGCACAAAATATTTAGCAGTGTCAACATTTTTAGGACATTTTACCATCTGTTTTATCCTGATAATTTACCCAGAATATTCTTTACTGCCTCCGGCTTACTATGACCAACGTGCTTTCAAAGATGCAAAAATTCACCAGGTGCTGGTGGCTTGTGCTTATAATCCTTGCTATTCAGGGCGTTGAGATCTGAGGATTGCAGTTTGAAGCCAGCCCAGGGAAGGAAAGCCCATGAGACTCTTATTGCCAATAAACTACTCAGAAAAAAAAACAAACAAACCAGAAGTGGCACTGTGGTTCTAGTGGTAGAGTACTAGCCTTGAGCAAAAAGGAGCTCAGGGACAAAGCCCAAACCCTGAGCTCAAGTCCCAGGACTGACACCAGAAGACAAACAAAAAAGATAAAAATTGCTCGAATGTTTTTGATTATGAATTATTTGTTTACTTTTTCCTGGGTAAAAACAGCATAGGACTTACTAAGAGGTAAAAGGAATGATGCAATCCAGGTATATAAAGAATTGTTGGCAAGCCACTGAGATACCATTTATTTCTTATTAGAAACTAATATTTGTGGAACAGCTACAATACACATATATATGTATATATATATATATACACTTTTTTTTTTTTGGCCAATCATGGGGGTTCAACTCAGGGCTTGGGTACTGTGCCTGAGCTTCTTTGTACTCAAGGCTAGCACTCTACCACTTGAGCCACAGCACCACTTCTGGTTTTTTGTGGTTAATTGAAGATAAAAGTCTCACAAACTTTTCTGCCCAGGCTGGCTTCGAACTGCAATCCTCAGTTCTCAGATTCTTGACTAGCTAGAATTATAGGCATGAGACTCCAGCGCTCAGCTCCACTAAAATATTTTAACTGCATTGACCACAGCACAAGGTACACACACACACACACACACACACACACACACACACACACACACTCACACACACAGAGTGCAAAGGGAGGGGATTCATTGTGATAATTCCATAGATGCATACAACATAAAAAACAGCCGGCTAAGGCCTGTGAGAAAGAAGAGCCAAAACCAAGATGGCATACAATTACCTGCATAGCCAAGGTATGAGTTACAGGCCTTACACAGAGTCTGGGACATGCATGAAGCTTCAAGGTTAGGGAAGCTAGGCTTGATGAGTAGGCAGCCAGGAGACAAAGCATGTGCCACAAGGACATTAAGCAAAAGTGAAAGGCATGGTAGACTGGGTCATTATAATCTGCTTGAATAATTCTTACTCATCCTTTATCACCTCCAAACTGACTTACCCCTCTGCTAAATGCTTCCCAGTTCTTCCTAGGATAACTCTCATGACTCTACCTTCATATGAGGGACAGATGCCAAATCTGTCTTTCAGCAAGCCCTGGCATATGGAAGGTGCTCAGGAAAGTATTTGTGGAACCACATCAGAAGGCAAGAATAAGATGCAGTTGAGAAGGCAGATTGGGATAGAAGAGGGGGTTTCCCTGGGAAGTAAGCTGAGAAAATGAAAAAGATGCTATGGAGGGTCTCTGACCATAGGAGAACTTGGAGAAGTTCTGGAATAGGAAGCAGGCAGGAAGTCAACCATGGCCTGTTTAATTTGACCCAACCTTCCTTCCTTCCTTCCTTCCTTCCTTCCTTCCTTCCTTCCTTCCTTCCTTCCTTCCTTCCTTCCTTCCTTCCTTCCTTTCCTTTCTTCCTTCCTTTCCTTCCTTCCTTCCTTCCTTTCCTTTCTTCCTTCCTTTCCTTCCTTCCTTCCTTCCTTTTTTCTTTCTTTCTTTCTTCTTCCTTTCTCTCTTTCTTTTCAAGACAAGGTCTTATACAGCTAGGGTAGGTTCAAACTCAACATCCTTCCACTTCAGTCTCCTCAGTGCTAGGATTACAAGTATGCACTACCATGCTCAACTTAAACATGAATTCAGAAGTCCACTGAAGAGTCATATATATGGATAACCCCCCCCCCACACACACACAGATTTCTGGTTTTCTTCCTTCCTTCTTTGCCTTTTCCCCCCAGTGTTTAGGATTAAACCCAAGGCCTTTCCTTTCTGAATGAAGGCAGAGAACACTGGGACGTTTACTACTCTTACTTTCACAGAGAACATTTGGATATTTACTACAGACACTTTGTGAGTCACTTTGAAAATACCTGAGTATTGATTTGGGGTTGCAAATAAGGTTTAGTGAGGATATGAATTTATACATGTGGATTCTGTCACTGTCTTTCTCTCTTCTGCTCCCTCATGACTGACCCACCTACAGGGGAAGGGAGTGGGCAACAGAACCATACCTCGGCCAGTGTGGTCCTAGTGGTGGTGACAGACATCTCTGTAACATTCCTCACAGGATCAGTGAGAGGTTGCACTTCTTCACGCTTGGTTTTGTACTGCACATGGGAGAAAAAGGCCAACAAAACAGTAAAGACACAAGCACAACCATGTTCACTGCAGCACTTTTCACTATAGCCAAGGTATGGAATCAGCCATAATACCCCTCAAAGGACAGAAGAGATCAAGAAAATGTGGAATATATACAATGGAATGTTACCCATCCATTGGAAAGAATGATAGTGCATCATTTGTAAAAACATGGAAAGATCTGGAATACAAAGTAACATTAAGTGAAATCAGGCCAAGAGAGACAACCGTTGCATGTTGTCCCTCATATGGACACTAGAATTCATTTATAAATATATAAGTAAATATATTAGGTGGCATACAAATATATACCAGTGTATTCACTGAAATCTGGTAGATTCAAGGGAGAACTCAAATAGTATAATCACTTGGAAAGGCAAAGTCAAAGTTCAACAACATAAACAGGAAGCAGGTACTTGAAAGGGGTGAGGTAGGGTCAATGGGAGAGGAGCAGAAGGATGAAGAGGAGAAGGAGGGTTGCAGTGAAGAATTCAATGTATATCCAACAAAGGTAAGAAGAGTGAGGACGTGGTGGGTGAGGAGGGATGGGAAAGAATGTTGTGAGGAGTGGCATTGATCAAGATGCATTGCTTCATCAACCATTTTGTGAAATGGCAACTTCCTTGTAGAACTGCTTACTGATGATAAAATAAGATTTTTGAAAAGAGTTTAAAAAAGAGAGTTTTCTAAACTTCTGGGACTAGACCAAAGGGATGTGATTTTGTTGCTCAACAAATAACACCAAGGGGCTCTACCTACGGTGCTTCTGCTGCTGCTAGGTTGTTTTTGTTAATTTGTTTTTTGTTGGTCATGAGGCTTGAACTCTGGGCCTTGGCACTATCGCTAGCTCTTCAGCTCAAGGTGAGCGCTCTACTACTTGAGCTACAGGGTCACTTCCGGTTTTCTGGTGGTTAATTGGACCTAAGAGTCTCATGGACTTTCCTGCCCCGACTGGCTTTAAACCACCAGCCTCAGATCTCCTGAGTAGCTAGGTTTACAGGTGTGAGCCACCAGTGCCCGGCTGCTTCTAATTTTGTTTTTGTTAGTTTGGTTTATTTTATTTTATTGTAAAGATGCTGAACAGAGGGGTTACAGTTACATAAATAAGGTAATGAATCCCTTGAGAGGAGTTTGGGAATTAAAAATGGGATTGGCATGCTGAAACCCCTGCTTCTCAGCACTACCATTCAATGCCAAGTGCTCTATCACTTTTGTCATGAGGAACAAATGATGGAGAAAGAACCTGAGAGAAAATAATGATTTGTCTGTCAATAACTTCACCCAGACAGACCTATGGAGATTCTTGTCAATCACTTTTACTTTCGTTATTTTTAATCTGGAAAATACTTCATTGCTTTGCTAAAGCAGCCACTATGACTTTTTTTCCCTCCTGTACTGGGGGGTGAGTGTAGGGCCTGACATGTTAAGCAAACACTCTAGCACTTAAGCCATGTGTACCTTTGTTTCTGTCAGAGACAGGGTCTTGCTGCTTGCTACCTTTGTCCCAGGCAGCCTTGAATTTTGGTCCTCCTGTCTCCATCTCGTGAGTAAGTAGGATTATAGGTATGCACGATTAAGCCCAATGGATCATTGTGAATGTAATAAATACTGTGAAAGATTAAATTACAAGGACAGTACCCAAATCAACAGTCCTTTTAGGGCTACTCCGTCACTGAGATTGCTGTTGAATTTTCTTCCTTAAGCCTTATTTGGTTCTGTGGGGTTCCCATACAGAGGTTTAAGAAAGAGCTAGTGTCTCATTACACCAGGCATCAAGGTCCCCCCCCACCGCCAGGCCTCTGCGAACACTGAAAACCTCACAGATGAGCACTGTGGCTGATCTGCAATGGGCCTCGTGAAACAGAGGTGCTACTGTGCAATATAGTTGCCATGTTTTTGGTTGGTATACACAGAGGTCTCTGTCCCTGTAATTTATGCAAATGAATACAGCAGTTTGTGATAGACTCAGCTGTTTTAAAGTGTATAGATAAGTAAAAGAAAAAAAAAAAAAACACTTGTCAGGAGAGTGAAGAGGGCATTACACAGTCCTAAAGGAAAAAGTCAGGGCTTTGCAGAGTGCCTGCAATGGGCACATCATGACTGTGGACAAGACTGAATCCAGGGAGCACCTGCTACACTGCGCAGCTTCAAATAGGAATGGTCACCATGAGAGGGACAGGAAAGAGGAGATGCAAAGCTCTTTATCCACTGCCCTGCATCTGCAGAACTTTCCAAATGTACCAAGGCTTTCTAACATAGGCCCTGGAACTCCACTTTGTAAACAATTTTACTTTTCATAGTGGAGAAGGTATGCTTTAAAACACCCATGGCTTCAGATGACTAAGTTGTCCTATTTGAACCCTACTGAGGGTAAATGCATGACGGGAAAAGGAGCAGAGTAACTGATCACAGGCACTTTACTGTGCATGGGAAAATCTGGGATATAAAACAGAGGCATCGCCTGAAACTTTGCCATTTACAGGTGATGGGTTAAGTCTATTTCTTGACTCTCAGCAGGAAAAAAAAAGTTATTTAACCAGAAATGGGAAGAATGGAGCAAATCATGGGCAAAAGTCATTAACATTACCTGCTGAAAACAGGCTTGGACAAGGTTCTCAGGAAACATATTCCTGTTGGAGACATGAAAAGCATTGTCATGTTAAGGAAAAAAGCAGTTTCTTATTATACTAAGTACCTTAATGGAAATGAACATAATACAGTATAGAATAATATGTTGAAAATACTATATATAATGTATGATATGTAGAATATTATATTATTAACATACTATAGAATGATCTATACAATATAAACCAAAGAATATACTACATAGAGATACTATATTATATGTATTATAATATTAATATAATATAGAATGAGTGCTGTGGGTTCTCTTTTAGCCTCTTCTTTGCATAATACTTCCTATTAAATCTTATATTAAGATTAACTCTTATATTAAGTATCAATTCTTAATACTTAAAATACTAAATCTTGTATTAAGATTTCCTGCTGAGCCAAAGGGAGTATGGAAAACTCTCTTAATCAACCATCATTTAAGTGATTAATTGAGTGACACACTTGCTGCCCTCAAGGAGAGACTGTACCGGAAGCTGGTCACTCACAGTCAAGAAGAAATTCTTTCCTTTTCTGCACTCTTCTGCTTGCATAAATGAGGCAACATGATCACACAACAGGCTCTTGAATTTCGTCTCAAATTCATAGTACTGATTCCAAGTTTCATCATGATTGCCGAATTAAACATTATGTAAACCCAAGAAATCTGAATGTGAAAAAGAAGGCTTGCTTTCTACTAAAAACTAAGCTGAAGCTGGGTGCTGGTGGCTCACACCTGTAATCCCAGCTACTCAGGAGGCTGAGATCTAGGGATCCCAGTTCAAAGCCAGCCCAGGCAAGAAAGTCCATGAGACTCTTATCTCCTCTAAACCACTAGAAAACCAGAAGTGGCGCTGTGGCTCAAGTGGTAGAGCCCTTGCCTTGAGCTGAAGAGCTGAGGGACAGCGCCCAGGCCCAGAGTTTAAGCCCCACAACAGACACAAAAACAAAACAAAAACAAAAACAAAACACATTAAGCTGAATGCCTGGAAAATCAATAAACGCCAGTGATGAAAATTTTTGCAGTTAAATCAGGTAGGAGAAGACAATTGAAATGGGGAGGAAAACTGGAAGAATTTAGCACTTAGCTTCCTTTGTTTTTTAGTTTTCTCAGCTTAGGTGTTTTGTTGTTCTATTTTATAGAAATTAAATCTGGAAGCTGTAGATGACATGTTCATAAGGATAGTATTTCCAGCAGAAATGAGGTGAAAGGAAAATGAATTGACATACTTAAAGAAAGACAATGGCCCTATATTGAAAAAATTGGTGAATAAATGCACTTAAGTTTCAAGTGGAAGAAAAATATGTCATGTGTTACCCTATAGCATTTTTAAGAGTTTCTGTTTTAATTGCTACTTTCACTGAACTGACTTCTTTCTGGCTCTGGCTGCTTTAGAAAAGAGAGCTTCTGCCACACAACTCAATGAATTTCTCCAAGTATGTTTACCATCCAACCCATTGCAGCATCTTTATATACAAGTACACCTCCTGTATCTCTGTCCATCTTAAATCCTCACATAGGAGCTTGCTTTTTTCCCCCATTTTTCTTTTAGCTATGGCTCTGCAAACAGAAATTATTGGCTATATAATCTGAGAGGTCTAGGGCAAACAGAGATGCACTATAGGATATAACCAATGACACATTTCAGGACAGAAACATCAGAGCATTCAACCAGGTATGGAGCCTTAAAGAAACTACAAAGATGGCGCACACCCAGGAAGTTCCTGTGTCAGCAAGTCTCTCACCTGATCAGGTCTAACATCGCATCCACTGTGCTTACTTCAGGAGTGCTTCCTACCCTGTTGATCTCTGTCACCTTCTGGGTGACACCAGGCTTGATGCTCACCACCAACACAATACCTGTGACCAAGGACAGTATCCAAAGAATATTAGGAACCTTCCATGGCACCCGGCGTGTTTTATCTTGGAACCAGTTGGCAAGGTAGAGACAGATAATGTTTGGGCCCCTGAGGTCCAATCAAAATGCTGAGCCATTGCTCAGACGTTAGTGTTTGCCTTAGTTACTTTTTCATTGAAACGAATAAGCAGAAGGATTTATCTTTCTATTTCCTTTTCTCTCTCCCTTTCTCTCTCTCCTCCTCCCTCTCTTTTATCCTTCCTGCTCTCCTTCTGGAAACACCTGCTGATAAAAATATTGTTTCATCCTTGATTTCTTTTTCTTCAATATTCTTTATCTTCTTTTTCCTTTTGTTGGTTGTGGGGCTTGAACCCAGGGCCCGGATGCTGTCCCTCTTTCCTCTCAAGGCTAGTGCTCTACTACTTTGAGCCACAGCTCCACCTCCAGTTATCTGGTGGTTAATTGGAGATAAGAGTCTCATGGACTTTCCTGCTTGGAATGGCCTTAAATTGTGATGATCAGATCTCAGTCTCTTCCTACCTAGGCTGGCTTTGAACTGCGATCCTCAGATCTCAGTCTCTTGAGTAGCAAGGATTACAAGCATGAGCCATAGCACTCAGATTTCTTCTTTCTTTAAAATGATCTTTTAGCCTGGTGCTAGTGGCTCATGCTTGTAATCCTAGCTACTCAGGAGGCTGAGATCTGAGGATGGCGGTTCAAAGCCAGCCCAGGCAGGAAAGTCCATGAAACCCTTATCTCCAATAAACCACCAGAAGTGGCACTGTAGCTCAAGTGGTAGAGTGCTAGCCTTGAGCTGAAGAGCTAAGGGACAGCGCCCAGGCCCAGAGTTCAAGCCTCGTGACGGACAAAATATGAAATAAAATAAAATAAATGATCTTTTAGTAATTGTACCCAAGAGCTTTCAATTCAACATGGTAGTTTATGAATGTGATGTATCTTGATCTATAGGTAGGTGTGTGAATTAAGGTTCTTCATATTCCAACCTCTGGAAGTTTCTTTGATATATTTCTGTAACATTTACACATGGATTCTCCTCCTCCCAAGGACAAACCTTGTCCCCCTAGCAAACCTTGTCTTGTCTTCTTTCCATATCTTAGGCCTTCAAATATCTCGAAAGCCCTCATGTGGGAAAGTGTCCTCCAGGGGGTGGAATGAAGACACAGGGAAGTTTGGTTCTGTTTACTGTCACAGGAAAAACGGTATACACTAAAGAAATGTCTACGTCTTGAAGCCCAGCTGGGACCTATGGAAATAATGGAGCCTTGTCTCTTGAGGCTCTGTGAAGTTATAGGAGAAATTTGGGCATCGGAGATTATTTAACTGGAAGAAAAGAAAAAATTCCCCAAGCCATTTCCCACCCCAGATAGGTGCCCCAAATCTGAAGACAGGGAAATGTTCATCCCAGAGTTAGGACTTTAGAGTGTAGTATGGGTCCTGTCTTCTGCTAGTAGGAAGAGTCACTGGGCAATTAGAGAATATTAGTCCTATCTATAAAAATAGGAAGTCTACTCTTCCTGATCTCAAAGTTACAGAAGGGATATAAGGCCATCCGATAATAAAGCAGTATCTTTCTTTTCTCATCTTTTTTCTTTATCTCAGGAACCTCTTGAGGATATCTGGCTTTGCCTTCATCCAGGCTTTGGGGGCCTAATGCCACTAAAACCAAACCATATCCTCAAATTTATCAATTCATTAAAGCAGGGCTGCATGGATCAAGCTAGCTGCAATATTGGAGCACATTTGCTTCCTTTCTCCCCACTCTGGACTTCCTTCTTAAAATGTCCCATGAGATTACAAAGGATGGACCAAACTTTCTTGACAAACCCAGGCTTAAAGTACAAGAGCAAGTCCTCCCTTATAGAACACTGTCCCCTTTATCAATGAGATTTAGTCTTTCCAAGACTTGTAGCCATTAGCTTTTGGTGAAATGGGAAATGCACTGAAAAGTTATCTTACTGGCAATATTTTACAATTGCACTTTATTTTATAAATCCACTTTACTCTTATGGACTAAACATCTGGTTTCAGAATATATAAGCTGTTGAATTCACTTCCTTCTACTTAATGATCCTGACAAGGAACAGCACTGTCACTCACTTTCTAGTTATTCCTTGAGACTTTAAGATGGACATGGATGGCTAATATTCGGTCAGTAATGTATTTTCACATTAAAGCTGCTATTGCAATTTCAAGACAAAATAGTTAGGGGTAAGCTGCATTTTTAAAAGCTTGACTATTTTTTGAATAAAAAAGTGACAATTATGTAGAGGAATAAGTCTTTAGAAACAAGTGTTACCTAAGATTACAGCAATGACAGTTGTGCAGAAGTAATATACCACAGCACGCAGACCAATTTTTCCAGATACATTGGAATCCAGTGCAGCAACACCTGAAGGAAGAGAAGAGCCAAGTTGAAGCCTATTCATTTGGAGATGCAGATTCTCTCAGTACCCCCTTTCTCCCAGTTGGTTAGGGTCAAATACAATGAACAAAAGGAAGCCCTTGAAACTGGGCACTGGTGGTTCATGCCTATAATCCTACCTACTCAGGAGGCTGAGATCTGAGGATTGGAGCTTGAATCCAGCCCAGGCAGAAAGGTCTGTGAGACTCTTATCTTCAATTAATCACCAAAAATACTGAAGTGGAGCTGTGGCTTGAGTGGTAGGGCACCAATCTTGAGCCTATAGGACTAAGTGCCCAGGCTGTGAGTACAAAACCAATGGGTTTTGTACTCTCATTTACCAATGTAAATGCAACGTGTGCATTTACATGCACATATACCCACATACACACGCACATACAAAGTAGAAATTTTCAAGTTCTTGAAAATTCTTAATGCAGAATTTGAGGTAGAAGTTCAGTGAAGTACAAATTCCTGGGCAGGTTCATTCCCATGGCTTTGCCCTCTGCTTTTCTTGGGGACAATCTTGAAATGGTCACAAGGAACCTTCTCTTATGCAATTGCTCTGAGAGCCACATCAAGATATGTACGTGGTATCACTCTACACTTTATGACAAACCTGTTTTGGAACTTAGAATCAAGGAAAACTTTACCTTGAAGAACTGAGCTAGTTCTTTATCACATCATAAGAATCACACAAATCCTGAATGTCTTCCTCTCTGCCTTTTCTGACAGATAGCTGAATCCATTGGGGAAAAAATATTCTGTGTGATTATAAAAGTAGTATATATATTCATAATAATTGCCCTCAAAAAGACAGAAATATAAGATGAAAATACAAGTCACAAGCACATGCTGGTAACTTTTCCAATACTTCCCGCGAATTATGGTAAACACAGAAGAGACAATGTTATAGTTTTCAGCCTACTCTATCCTTGATACTGTATTACAAGCATTTCCCCTCATTGTTGCAAACTTACCTGAGGATCATTTTCATGACCACACAATATGCTGGCATGTGACTGTATCATAATGCATTTATGCACACCCTTACTGCTGGATCTTTAGATGGTCTCAGGGCTTAATTCAATAATAAATCATAGTAATTTCAGTATCCATCCTGGCTAGTGTAGTTCCTGCCTTTTTGGTAATTTTCAAATTGCTTCTAGGTAAACAACCTCATTGCGTATGGCTGCTGTTGTGAGACATCTTAAAATTTCTGTCTGAAAGGTTACAAATAAACCATTTCCAGAATCACAACAATTGAAGAGAGACTTGCAGCCATGTTGTTAGATCTAGCTTCAGACAGGTTTTGGCTACCAGTAAAATAACTGAGGATTGCCTAGACTTGAGAGGCTTGTCTGAAACATCATGGACAGCTGTATTGGGTCAGAAGTCATACATCTCTACTTGCCAGAAATCTTTGCCTTCGGTCAAGAATGTTTGTATAAATATGTCAAATGATGCTTTCTAACTAGATTTCTACAGGGAGAACCTGAGAAGCAAATAAAGCATCTTTGTTATAGCAAGTTGTCATTTGGAAGTTGTAGACTCTGCTCTGCATGATTTCTAAACCAAGGATTACATTTTGAGTCGCATGATGATCAGGGAAAATGAATTTGCACTTTCAACATGCTTGAATTGTCCCCTAGTTCACTGAAATGCCTCAAGCACATGGTAGCAAGATAAAGGAAGAGATTGTCACAACTCAATCTGAAGGAGGGGGTAGTAAACCCACACAGCCATGAGGACACACAGGTCCTCCTGATGACAGGATCCTCCATGCTTTTAGTGACTGGGAATTATGCTCTTCCCATGTAATGGTATCCATTCAAGGGGCAGGAAAAAAGTCTACAAGGAAGCTATCACTATTGTGGCAGTAGAACCAGTCACTTCCCATTCTAAATATACAATTCCCTGGGCTGGGGATTGCTCCTTTGAAAATTAGTATTTGGAGATAAGGTACTCTTGTCTCTAAGCTATTGGAAAGGGCCTGGACACCAACCTCTGGGATATAACGGTATCCAGGAAATGATGAGCATATTGTGACAGTCTGGCCACTTCCTAGCATAACTTTGATGATGGAGTTTATACTATTTTTTCTTTTTCATTTGAAAAACAAACAACAGAATTTGGTGTACTGAGGAGAACTTCTTTTCCTGATGGTAAGATAGTTAAAAGTAACAATACCCAAAGACAAAAAACAAGAACAACAAAAATGTCTAAGAGAAACTAAAGGCTACAACTCAAAAACGAATGAGCGATCTTTTTTTTAGGGCTTTTAAAAAAATACGCCAACAAAAAATGCCAACATATAATTTTGCTAAGCATAATGATTATAAACTGTACCTCTTTCATTTTAGAGCATTATTTTGAGTTCCTTATTTCAGTCTATTATTTTGAGAAATAATTAGTATAGTTATTTATAAAAATAATGATAGGCTAAAAAGAAATAAGAGTTATGTGCCCGGTAGCTCATACCTGTCATCCTGATTTCTCAGGAGGCTAAGCTCTGAGGATCAGAAATCAAAGCCAGCCCCGGCAGGAAAGTCTGTGAAACTCTCATCTTCAGCTAACCTAAAAGCTATAAGTGGAACTGTAGCTCAAATGATAGAGCATTAGCAATGAGCAAAAAAGCTCAGGGACAGTGCCTAACCCTGAATTCAAGCTCTAGGATGAATTCAAGCCCTAGGATAAGAAAGAAGAAGAAAGAAAGAAAGAAAGAAGAAAGAAAGAAAGAAAGAAAGAAAAGAAAGAAGAAAGAAAGAAAGAAAGAAAGAAAGAAAGAAAGAAAGAAGAAGAAAGAAAGAAAGAGAAAGAAAGAAAGAGAGAGAGAAAGAGAGAGAGGAGAGAGAGAAAGAGAGAAAGAGAGAGAGAGAGAGAGAAAGAGAGAGAGAAAGAGAGAAAGAGAGAAAGAGAGAGAGAGAAAGAGAGAAAGAGAGAGAGAAAGAGAGAGAGAAAGAGAGAGAGCAAGAGAGAGAGAAAGAGAGAAAGAGAGAAAGAGAGAGAGAAAGAGAGAGAGAAAGAGAGAAAGAAAGAGAGAAAGAAAGAGAGAAAGGAAGAAAGAGAGAAAGGAAGAAAAGAAGGAAAGGAAGAAAAGAAGGAAAGGAAGAAAAGAAGGAAAGAAAGAGAAAGAGAGAGAGAGGGAAAGAAAGGAGGGAGGGAAGGAGGGAGGGAAGGAAGGAAGGAAGGAAAGAAGGAGAGAATAGAGAGAGAAAGAATAGAGAAAGAAAGAATAGAGAGAGAAGGAAGGAAGGAAAAAGAAAGGAAGAAAGAAAAAGAAAGAAAGAAAGAGAGGAGGGAAATAACAAGGAAACTGGGGAATAGCTCAGTGGCAGATTGCCTACCTAACATGGTCCTGTGGTTATATCCTAGCATTACAAAAAGCAAAACAAACAACCCCAAACTCCACCTCCTCCCACCAAAAAAAAAAAAAGACTCAAGAAAATCGCCAATTTAATAGAATCCCATAAAACCATAACCTGCATAAGCATCCCCAGCCCTGATACTATGGTTGAAATGTCTTCCATAGGCTTGTGTACTGGGGGTTTGGTCCTCAGCTGTTGATGCTATTTTGGAAGGCTGCCTAATTGGAGGAAGTAGGTCAGTGAAGGGAGTGTGGCGGCTCTTTAGGGATATCTTGCTCCTATCTGTCTTGTCTGTCTGTCTTTCTCTATGCTTCCTGTCCATCATAAGATGAAGAAGATTCTTTCCCAAATGCTGATGCCACCGTGAATAAAGTTTCTGCCCAAGCATCTAGGGCTAAGCAACTATGGACCAAATCCTCTGAAATCATGAGCAAGATAAATCCTTCCTCCTTTCCATGCTTCTCTCAGGTCTCTGGTCCCAGCGAAGTGATCAAATGTCAGTAATATACCTGACCTCACATATGATGCTTTTTTGGGTACAGTGTTCTCTTTTGGCAGATGTCTAAGGTGCTGAAAAATGCCAGCGTCACCGGGTAGTTGCAGTACTGTTCTTCAGTGCGTGTTTGGTGTCCTCTCAGGACTTTCTTCCAGTAGTGAGACAAATTAAATCTATGTGTATAATTATTTCCAGCATATGTTAATATGTCTTCATTTGTCTTAATGATTTGGCTATGGGCTAGTGCCTCTGCTGGTATTTCAAGACTCAACTGGCAATTAAAGGCTTCCTAATAATGAGATTCTTGATGGAAACATCTTAAACAAATACATCCTGAGCAAGTCAGGATGAGTAATTATACCTTATAGTCACAAAAAAGAGCTTTCTTTCTCAGCTTTCTCATCTCTCAGTCCTAGATGTATCAGAAATCCATTCAAATCACCAATTTATATCCTACAAAATTAAGAAGAGTGCTGGGCACCAGTGGCTCACACCTGTAACCCAGCTACTCAGGAAGCTGAGATCTGAGGATTGCATTTCGAAGCCAGCCAGTCTCTACCAGACTCCTATCTCCAATTAGCCACTGAAAAACTGGAAATGGATCTGTGGTAGAGCACTAACCTTGAGCGAAAGAGTTCAGGGACAGTGCCCAGGCCCTGAGTTCAAGCTCTACAACCAACTAAAACAACAACATCAAAAAAATGACGAAGCTGGGCGCTGGTGGCTCACGCCTGTAATCCTAGCTACTCAGGAGGCTGAGATCTGAGGATCGTGGTTCAAAGCCAGCCCGGGCAGGAGAGACCTTGAGACTCCTATCTCCAATAAACCACCAGAAAACCGGAAGTGGCGCTGTAGCTCAAGTGGTAGAGCGCTCGCCTTGAGCTGAAGAGCTGAGGGACAGCGCCCAGACCCGGAGTTCAAGCCTCATGACCGACAAAAAAAAAAAAAAAAAAAAAAATGAAGAAGGGGGCTGGGAAGGTGGCTTAGTGGTAGAGCGCTTGCCTTGCATGCTCGAGGCCCTGGGTTCGATTCCTCAGCACCACATAAGCAAAAAGAAAAAAGCCGGAAGTGGCCCTGTGGCTCAAGTGGTAGAGCGCTAGCCTTGAGCTGAAGAGCTGAGGGAC